ATCAAAGTACACTCATGTGATTTGTCAGTTTAAAGTACAGAACTAGATGCTAATTCTTTGTGACGCTGACCAGCTGTATACAAGTCGAATCCACTTTCTTTCAGGTTGGCAAGCCTCCCGCTGTAATACTGTTATAAGTCAGGTGACACGGCAGAAAATGGTGTCTAGTTATATTGTAGTTGCAAAGTGTCCCTGGGTTGTTGTTGAGCTCTTCTTCTTTTATACTTCATAAAATAGCTGCTAAATGATCTAACGCAGACACAATCATTCCACTGTGTTGTGCTGCATAAAGTACATTCACACCATCAATATTAAGGTCGTCTCAGTCAAAGTGATGGTTTATATATAATAGAGTTGCGATGAGAGAATATTTAACAGCAGCAAAGGTCACAGTTGAAGAAGCTGTAAAAAAGATCACATCCTCAAACTGAAAACCAAAAGGGTAATTCCTCTTCTGACTTTCACTGTCTTCTTCTAAGAAAACAATTAACAGCTCAAATGAATCCACACAGAGGTTTTAACAATCAGTGAATGAGATTTTATTTGTTTATAAAGCGGAGAAAATGATTGGTCCAAGAAATTCACAGAATTATTTCTGCATAATTAAAATGGATTACAGAGTAAAAGAAAAAAAACATGTAGAAAAAGACATGTAGCCAAAGTGCTAATGATGGTTTGGGGAGCATAGCTGTTAAGACGTTTATTAAAAAATACAACTCTCAGAATAAATGACGAGCACTCCTTTGATTTGAACCCATATTTTGTCATCCATACCCATGAATACAATGCAAAATCATGACAGGAAAGACATCAAGACATCTAATCAGTTTGTGGGGAAAGAAAATGACAAGGCAGAGCGTCGGATTTGTCTGACTTGTAGAAAGACTTGGATCATCAGTGGGTCACCGTGAACCCTGAAAAGAGCAGCATGGAGATATAAATGAATGAGACATAATTCAACAGCGCACATAGGGACCTCCTCGTCCCAGTTATCACATCTTCTCGATACCACACATGTAGGCAGTTTCATTAAATGTAAATGTATATCATTATAATTTACCTTTAACGTTTGGGCCCTTCGTTGGATGAATCGAACACTCAGACGCCATCATCGTGGACCCAAGAGAATGGCGATGAGCAGGTCTCACAGGTCTTCTCTAACAATTCAAAGACAAACGATCATTTGCCGCCCCGCACACGTGACCGATCGAGATAGAGCGGCGTCGACTCACCCACGAAAGATTCCTCAAACACTCGACACATGTGGATAGCACTGCATATGGTCCTCGGCGAAGCGTTCTCCAGGAATAAATGAATTAGCTCCTTGGAGAACGGCCCAACGATCCTCCTGCACAGTCCCCCCATGCCCAAGGGAACAAGACCGCAAGCCTTCTTTAGCGCCGCAGCCACAGTCGCCTGCAGAAGGAGGCGTAGCGCTGACTTATGTTCCACATCTTGTGTTCATTCATGTGGACAGTTGTTCCTTTACTGCATGACTTACCTGAGTCCTGTGGCTGGACAGCAAACCGTTCACAATCTTCATGACAGTTTCGCAGACTTTGCACGTAAAGAAGTTCTAATTGACAGAAACAGCAGAAGGAGTTAAACACAAAACCTTTCCACAGATCATTTTCAAATGTTCCCCGTCATTTTGCGATGCTTAACTGCCTCAGCGGCCCTGGCGTCATAGCTGAGAAGCATGGACCGGTACATTCTGCCGGAGTCGCAGGCCCTCAGGATTTCACAGACTTCTTGAGGCTGCTACAGACAAAAAGTGACGTTTGGGTTTTTTTTTTGGTGAGAATAGATGCTAAGAGTCATCTGAAGCACACAGAAAGACTTCAGCCTGCTACTTACAGTGAAAGTAGTTAGCATTTTGATGACCAGTGGAAGCATCTCCTTCGCCTGCTTTTCACAGACCGTGGATGAACCAGCCAGGTCAGCACACACATGTGCAAGGAGGTCCTCCATCTTGTCCTGCAGTAAACAAGCATATTAACTAACCATGGCTTGTCTGGTTAAGTTTAGACTTGCTGTTGGAGAATGTTATTTCCAGAGGCTTAATGTTTTTAGTTAATCTTTTATCTCGACTTTTATATCCTGAGACTGATTTTTTTTTTCGTGAAGACAATCTTTATGAGTATATCTAGTTTATTGCTTCAATCAGGGCACTCGTTGGTCTAAAAAAAGAAACTACCCATGAGAGATTTCATTTCAACCTTTGTTCACCAACAAGAGGAATGAACAATTTTGTCACTTTACATGTTTCTCTATGTTCGTATTTCCATCCATCCATT